TAAAATGTCTAAGGTTGCTAAAAGAAAGCTATCAAGTAGAACTTTAACAGAAAAATATAAAATACTATAAGAACTCGACAAAGGAGAATCATCTGTATCTATATCAAAGGAAATATGACATTCCAAAACAAACATTGTCTGGATGGTCAAAATAAAAAAATAGAATATATTCAGAAGTCGAAAAAAATAAAACCTCTGCGAAAAGAGTTCGGATGCATGTCTCCCTAAATGAGAATTTGGATAAAGCATGTTATATGTAGCTTTTAAACACCCGACACCAAAAAATTTGTGTGTCTGGAACCATTTTTAAGTCAAAGCTTTGCATTTTGCAAAAGAACTTGGTTGTGATAACTTTCAAGCATCCAATGTATGGTTAGATAGATGGAAAAAAAGAAACAATGTGTTGTTTAAAACAATATCAGGTATTTTATCATTTTAATTTTTCATTGATATTTACATTTTTTTCAGTCATTTGTCTAAAAAATAATAATGAGCATGGAACTCTTAGTTCTACTCTATCGCCCATAAACCAATAAATTATCAAACCAATTCTTTTGTTTTAAGTTGTTTAAAGTCATTACCATTTTTTGGTTTATTACGACGCACTGAATGAAAAACAATAAGTGGATAAAGTGCAAAAAAACTCCATAAAGTCCTAAACCAAATATTATAGCTAATAAAATTTATACTGACTTTAAAGTTGCTTTTTTTTATATTTCATAGGTGAAAGTCAAGATGCTACTAATGAAATGACCTTGGAGGGAAACAACTTTGCCGACGATATCGTCTCGTTATAACTCGCATGATATATTCAATGCAGATGAGTTTGTTTTATAAAGCACTTCCAAAAAAAAGAATGCATTTAAATGGTGAGAAATGTAATGGAGGTAAGAATTGCAAGATACGACTAACTAAGCTTGCTGCAGCTAACATGTGTGCAGAAAAACTTTCAATGTTTGTTATGGGGAAACCAAACAAACCCCATTTCTTTAAAGGAATTAGAAGCACTTTATGTTGTTACCGTGCACAAAAAAAGAGCTGGATGACTTATGAACTATTTGAGGAGTGGGTTAGGGAAAACGACAGAAACTTTGCATTAGAAGGCCGTAAGGTAGCATTTGTTATTAATAATTGCACCGCCCATCCAAATATTGAGAATCTTAAATCAGTCACACTCTACTTTTTTCCCCCAAACACAACTTGGTCGAACAATAAATATATACCCCTTCAGAGTCCGAGTTAACAGGGTTCTACTGTATAATATATGTATGTATATATATATATATATATATATATATATATATATATATATATATATATATATATATATATATATATATACATATACTATTAGAAATGTGAAGAAATTTGATAAGAAGATGTTTGGAAATTTAGAGAAATATTATTTCAGTCATGCAATAAAATAAAATATGCAATAAAATAATGATAATATTATTCTTGTTTACACTAAAACAAATAAAAAAGCGATCTTTTTTTTTAATAAATTTTCTCTATTAAATATATAGAAAACATTAATTATATTAGAAAACATTAGAGTTTAATAAATTCAAATACAGCATTGCTTTTAACAATTATTTTTGAAAATGTTAAGATGCTTGAGTAAATAATAAATAAATTTCAGAAAAACAATTGACAAAAAAAACTGACAAAAAGTTTAACAAATTTTTAAAAAAGAAAATGGAATGTTGCACCGCTTTTTATCTGTGAAATTTTTTTTTTATTAGTTATTAAGGTGCTTTGAGATGACTAAAAATTCTTATCTTTGAGTACAGCAAAAGAGAATTTAACTAATTTCACACGTACTTCCTTACCAATGGCCAAAGCTGGCATAGCACCTCAAACCTATTGGTTCTGAGCTTTAACACTTATCACTGTGATATAGCTGCTTTTATTGCCCCTTATATATTATTTATAATAATATAACTTGATTGCAAAAGTATTGTACCCAGCAATAGTTTGGGTGATACTGGTTTTAAAAATTCTCCACCCCCGCCCCCCAAATTTGTGAAGTAATTTAACTTTTTGATAAAAAAAAAGAAGATAGTTAAATCAGTTTTTTTTTTAATTAAAAAACTTATAAATTATATAATTTTGAAAAATGAAAATTAATTTAAAAAAAATATATATATAATTTTGAATATTTAAAATTTAAATATAACTTTAAAAAAAAAGCTATATTAAGACTTCAAGGTGACATTTCTTTAAGCTTGGTCAGATTTAAAATGTGTAGTTTATTTTTGTAACTTAAATATTTTATATTATGATTTTAGTAGTGTGTCTTTGGACTCGCTCCAAGATATTTATAGCTTTAATTATATGTAGATTCAAACTTAAAGCAGAGATTCAATATGCCGACTAATATACCTTCTCAGGAGATGCGTGCCGTTGCACACCTTAAATGACCAAGGATAAAAAAAAAATTTTCCCTTTTCCTATATTCCTTTTTATCCTAACTTTTTTCTATATCTTGATGTTAATGTAACACATAGGTTAATAAATTGTGTCATTTACGAGGTGCAATTGTTATATCAGCATTAGTTGAGGGTTTAAATTCTACTAAATTTTTTTATGTTTTATTTACTTTATAGACATTAGAAAGTATCAAAGTTTCAAATTTTTAAATAATTAAGTTTCAAAGTAATTTAGCTTGGATTAAATAACTAAAAAACTTCAATTTTTTCTAAACTCTTTTTAGTGAAACCCTTTTTAAATTAAAATAAAAAGTTTTATTAATTTAATGATTTTAAATTGAGTCCTTGTATAGTTATGCTTTTATTCAAGTGGCTTATGTAAAGAATTTTGCATTTTAAAATGTTTAGCCAAATTAGCCTCAAGTGCGCTTCGATGGCTTACCTAATTATATTTTCTAGTAATTTGCACATAAGGCTGATAAGTCAATAACTGCCCAGGTCAGTGTTTACCTTTTTTTTGAATATAAGAATAATGTTTGCTATTTGCTATGTAATAGGAGCTTCGTCTTGGTCAAGTTCTTGCTTGAATAATATCACTCTAATAGACATCTGTGTAAGACAAGTGTATGTATTATCAGATCCTTGCATTTTATTTATACTATATGTAAATATTAACTTCCCTAATAAGTTGCTTGACTTAATTAGTGTTGATACAAATGTTGCTAATTTTATTGTTAGATTTGCGAAAAGTTTTGCGAATGGACTGTTAATGCTAACTGGACTAAGGAGTGATTTGAAGAGGCTTTTTAACTGTTTGTTGAGAATGTTTGCTTGTTGTTTGTCAGTTACCGTTTGACCAGAGCTGTATAGTAAGGCCCCATAACCGACTTAACTCTTGTTTTTTTACTATAGAGATAAGCAAACAAACATTTAGAATTTTTTTTTATTGCAAGTTTTAATAATCTAATACATAGTTCAAATATACTTTGTGCTTCTTTGTAGCTTTTTTAAATTTATTTTTTACTTGGTTGTACTACATTTTTAAGTTGATATTTTGGTTAGATGAGGTCTTATAATTGGGATTAACTTACAGTTGATACAAAGGTATTGTAAAAATAAATATTTTTGTTGGCTATAAAAGATGGCTAGCAATATCTGATAGTTTAGACGACATACCAATGCTAACACAACTTAAACTATAAAAAAAAATCACCTTTTTATAGTTTTATTTAAAGTTATTTATTTTATTTTAAAATAAAATAAAAATTTGTACAAAAGAATTTAATCTTCTAAAATTCTCTTATTCAAACAATTTTGCAATTAAAATTTGAAATAAATGAAAAATTGGAAAAATTTAAAAGAATTTTAATGCTCAATAGTTAATTTGCAACAGCATAATTTTATTGGAGTAGTGTCTGTAATACCCAGTGGCATAGTGAGGATCATTCCTGAAAGTTAATCATATATCTAGCTACAATAACAATGTCAGATTTAGAACATGGTACAAGTGAGGAAGAAAGTTTTATTTAAATCGTAAACATTTTGAATTGTTAATTATTTTTTGTTTCTTGAAAATAGTTTTAAAAGTAAAAACATTTTATTGCAAACATTAAACCAAAAATTAAATTATTAATAATTTAAATTAAAAAATATAATTTATTTTACTTCTGTTCAAAGAAATTTTTTTCTAAAATAATAATTTAAGCATGTACTTAAACTTAAATAAATATAATTTGATTTATTTGACCAAATTTTTTTTCTTTTACTTTTTATTGCAAAACAGTTTGAATGAAAAAATTGAAGGAAAACATAAACTTAAAAACCATTTCAATCAAAAAATTAAACTTGAATTTTTAATAGTACGCTAGATCAAGAAAATATAAACTATGAAAAATGTGGTATGTAATGATTTTCAGCTTTGATCTCATTTGGTCTAGAAATTATAGTCTCGTAAAAATTTTGGTAAAAAACTATTTTTTTTCGTGATTAGATTTTTTTTCATTAATTCTCTCTCTATCTCTCTCTCTCTCTCTCTCTCTCTCTCTCTATATATATATATATATATATATATATATATATATATATATATATATATATATATATATATATATATATATATATATATATATATGTCACACTTAAATAGCCTGCTGTTGTGAGTTTCAGTACATATATCAACTATCTTATAGTCTGCCATAAAGCCATAAAGGTGTGTTGCTACATCAACTGAAGGTTTGGCACAGAGCAGCAATCTTTTCTTACATTTTTTTTTCTTCTTCTTTTTCTAAAAATACTACATGTAATATAATCACTACATTTAATTTATATAATGTAATAAAAAAAATTTTGACTTTATATAAGTATTAAATATGTCTTTTATTAATATTTCATAAAAAAAAGTAAAAAAACAAAAATTTAAAAAATAAATGTGTATAATAAATATACAAATAAAAATCTTAGAAATTAACAAAGATTTAAGATCTATAAATTAAGTTTAGGATTAAGTTTAATTTAACGTAAAAGAATTTTCTAAACTTATTAAATTGTTATATTAAATTTATTATATAGGTACCAAATGGTGATCAACAGCAACAAGAAGCTATGAAAAGGTAATATGAATTGCATTATAACTTATTTAAAAACTATATTGTAGTAAATACCAAAAAATCATTAAAAAAATTTTCTGTCAACAATATTGCTTTTTTATGAAAAAGTTCTAAAGATTTTTAATTTAATAGCCTGTAAATAATGTAACATTTAAAAAGTGATTTATTAATTATTTAAAACAATGCCCAACTTTTTCTCTAATTAAAAAAGTTTATTATTTTTAGTTAATATTTTTTTAAAAGAGAGAAATATTATTAACATTCAAAAAAATATTATTAACATTCAAAATAGACTTGAATGATTTTGTATCTATTTATTAGTCGGAAATCATCTATCTATCTATATATATACATTTTATATCTATTTATATATCATATATATATATATATATATATATATATATATATATATATATATATATATATATATATATATATATATATATAATTTAAATAGAGAGTTGGAAATGAAAAATGCTATGCTCACTCAGTTATTAGACCAAGGCGCTCGAGCCAGATGTAAGTAATTTTTTAAATTTATCTTTAAATTTTTTTTTTATTATTATTTAGTTTGGGTCTAATATTCTGATTTCTGTATAAAAATACTTTATATTACACAACTGTGAGATTTTGTGAGGGTTTTCAATGTATTTTTTTTTCAAATTATTTTTTTATTTTTGAAGCTGTTTTAATTTTATTTAGCTTTAAACAGCTATATAATGTTTGTTTTTTTATTAATAAGTTCAAAAATTTATTTTGAATTTTTTAAGTAAAAACTTTATTTAGCAACTAAAACTCTTATTTTACAACACTTTAAATACCAATTAAAATATGTTTAAATAACAATTTACAACAAGTTTTCATTTTACAACAGTTTAAACAACATTTACAATTATTGTATAGATAAAGCCTGTTTTAGTTTTAACAGTTCAGATTAATTTTTTGTTTGTTGTTCAATAAAAATTGATCATAATATTCAATAAAAAGTAATATGTTCAACAAAAAATATTAATAAAAATGTAAATATAAAGTAAAAAATCTTTCTAAATTAATGAGGCACATTTAAACATTTTTTAAGGCAATGTATATAAAAGACTGGATTTGTGACAGATTGTTTTTAAATGGTATTGTGTATGCAATATATACAATCTGTCTACAATCCATAATTTTTCTTTAGTCATGGTATTCTCCCAATATAAGTGTTAAGTCAAAAGATAATTTCTAGGACACAATTGAAAAAGATTTTTCAAATACATGAAAAAGTGTATAAAATCCAATGTCCTTGTGCTATAACATATAAAACAAAAGTACAAATATCAAAAGTGCTAGATCATTGAGCTATGCAAATCTGTAGCAATATTAAGGTTCTTGACAGCAAAGATAATATGCTTGTGAACAGTTTGTTTTTAAATTAAGGTTTGTTGTTATAATAATTTAATGCAGCACTTATTGTTATGTAATCATTTTGCTAATATTAAAATATTTGTTATTAAAGGTAATGATATTTTTCATTGGTATTAACTAAATTTTAGCAAAAGTGACATGCACACATATATATATCATGATTAAATATCAGGTTTTTATGTCGTTATGTTGATGAATTAGTGTTATGTTCAAGAATATCTGCAATAATATTAATTATCTTTTTGCACATCACAATTACATATTAGAATTTAAAAAACCTCTACTGTTAACACACTATTTATTAAACAAACCAGATATTTTTATAGAAAAAAAAAACTAAGCAGAATATTATAATTGTAAGCCAAAATTAGGCATAGAAATGGGAATAAAATAGCAAAATTACAAAAAAGCTGAAAAGTTTGTTAATATCTAGATAAATAATTTGTTTCAATAACTAAAATTAATTCTAAACTTATTTTAAAGTAGATTTTTTTTAAACAAGGTTTGTTTAAGATTTAAACACGCTTGTCTTTGTACAAATTTATTTACATAAAGCTGAACAATTACTCCAAAAACACTGAGTAAAAGCAATTGCTTTTTTTTTATTCACCCAGTCTATTGATTTTTCAATAATTTCAGTCTAAAGTCAGTAATTTGCAGTTTATTAAGCCAAGATTATAACCATCTATAAAAGGCCTCGTACTGGTGTGGAATGATGTGCTATGAAGTGAGATTTTAGATCCAAGCATACAGTCAGCGAGCACTGATCCGAAGTGCATTGTGGAGCTTCTTAATGAATATGTGCGTGATTGTCAGCATAGTCATTAGATTATTGAGCGCCGTAACCACATCCAGTGGGATAGCCTAATCATTTGCTAAGGATGTCTAGAGTATGAGTTACGGTTCCCCTTCTTCCTGAGTTGTTAAATTTTATTCCTCCTACTAAATAGTCTTTACATTAGTTTATGTTAATATAGACATATTACAGTCATAAAAGAAACATTAAGTTACTCTTAATTATTAATTACTATTTTCTATTTGCTTTGTATTATTTCTAAACATTAAAATTGTTTATTTTAATACATGCGCATACGTGCATGTGTACACGTTTGTCTCTTTATTTGTTCATGTTGATTCGGAAGCTCCACAATGTCAGACGCCCGCTGACTATGTGCTCAGATCTAAAAGCTCACTTTAAATCATTCCACCAGGTTTTCATAAAACAGCTGTTACTCTTTTTCAACAAAATAAAATTTTTCTTCACAGTTATTTATCATTGACTTCAAATTTTTTACAATAAAACTAAATTGAATAGCGTCCATTTTTTTGAAGCTTTTGAACTCATCAGGTAAACTATTTCTTTCAGAGCACATTAATTGACTTAAGTGACATCTCGTTTTTTAGAATACAATAAACGTTTAAAAAAAAAATTAAATGGTTAAAATTAAACAAATTAATGGAGAAAAGTTTATGAAGGAATAGGAATAAATTTTATCTAAACAATATAATATTCTCTACATTTGTATAAGGTCACCACAAGCTTTTTCCATAATTATTCCAGATTAAGTACTCTAAGCTTTTTCTCATTTCATTTTTTTAAAAGATGAAATGATAAGACAATGGTCTATGAGTAATCAAGTCAATATAAATCCGATGGTTTATTAATGGCAATATAGCAATTACTAGACAACAAAGATTAGAGTTATAGAACAAGGAAAGGGTTTACAGAAGATTTAAAAGGTTGTAGGTTGTATAAGTAAGGAAAACATGAATATGAACAAGAGTTCCCAATGGTTAAAATGCGGGGGGAAAAGCTAGGGGGGTTGGTATGGTGCGGGGCTCCCTGCTATAGTCGCAGCAGGGGGTGCGCCAGTGCTGCATCTGGACTGGGGGGGGGGTGATCCTCTTTTAGAGGAGAAGAAAACCTAAGAGTTTTTTATTCCCTTGTTTTTAATGAGTTGAGTGGTTTATTCCTTAAAAGTATGATAGTTAGGAGAACAATTTAATGATCATTCTAAAGTGTTTGTTTTTTCGACATTTAAATTATTTCAAGAAACAAATATTTCTTCTGAATAAAAAGCATCAAAAACTATGTTGATAAATCTTACAACTCCTATTATAGAAATAATTGAACCTAGTGAGCTAATAACATTTCAAGTAAATAAGCTATCTGACCCAGGCTTGACAGATATAGCAAAACTACATTTACAATGCATTTTCAGACCTTGTCTAGAACAGAAAGAGTATCATTAGAAAGACCACCCTGATAATGCCAGCAGTATTCTTAGAGAAATGGATGGAGAGAATGGAGTTAAGAGTAAGAAAATGGCAATCGTGATAAAGGAAATTAACCTTTGCAGATGCTTACTTAGCAATCGATTTTAATTGTGGTTTCCATAAGAGGTCAGTTGTAAACAATAATCAAAAAAGACTTAAAAAAGTGTACTCAGTTGACTTTTTTTTGGGATGGTTGCTTGCAGTAAATTACTGAGTTTTAGTTGGAGTTATTCACAAGCCTCTGCAAGCCCCATTTGTTACAAAGTTTAGATCAGATTCAAGATTGGCTGTCTGTTTTAAGTGATCGAAAAGAGATGACTTCTTTTAAGAGATGACTTAAAACAGGAGAAACAAGTTGATCGCAAATGGAACCACTTTTTAAGGTTGTCAGGAAGATCATTAATGTAGAAAAGAAACAAAACAGGACCAAAGATATAACCTTCAGGACCCAGAAGTTACTAGAAATAAAAAAGAGTGTTGGTCTTTGAGGATGACTTTAATAAAGCAGTTAAAAAGAAATCTTTTGATAATTTAAAAAACTTTACCAGATACACCGTATGAAGTAAGCTTATAGATAAGACCAGCACCCCTAATTTTATTAAAAGCCCTAGATATGTCAAAACCAATAACTCTAGCTTGGCCGCCTCCATTTAATGCTTGATAAAATCTTTCGGTCACAGCAGCAGGGATGCGGAGTCCCATAAAGGACTTCGGATTTGAATGTCACAAAAAGATTACTTCTTTGTAGTTTTTGGTATCCAGGAGCTCAAGCTCAAGCTCAATATTAGTTTATAATATAAAAAATGCTTACGGACTACTATTGATAAAAAAATCTTTTAGATTAGAGGAACAATCATTTTTTGAACTTGGAATCCTCAGGTATAATGGCGACAAGGATTTGTTTTAAGTCATTAAATTTCATGAGTTTTTTTTGAACAAGAAGGTTGAACACTGTATTGATTGTTTGACAGTAAGTTATTTGACTCAAGATGGAATTTAGATATTTGTTGATCAAAGACTCAGAGGAATGATCGAACGAAAGCTGGAGGTGTGAGAATGTTCTTTATTAAATTATTGTTCTATATAGAGTTTTTAAAAATTGGAACCACAGTTGCCATTTTCCAGCCAACAAACAAACAAGTAACTCCCAACTTCTTAGTGGTTGCTTGCAGCCTTGTTGGGAGTGAATCAGAATTTGAAAAAAAAAAGTGTTTGTTCTCAAAAGAATTGTTCTTTTGAGCAAAATAAAAAAAAAAAGATTATGGTTAGATATAGGTGTTGCACAAGGTGATAACCATGGAGTAGAATGTGACCTGACTTGGAAAGAAGAAGAAGTATACAAGTCTAGGAGTGAAGTAAATTGATTAGGGTTGTCTGGAAAACAAGTCACAGAGTTACATAGTCACATACTATCTGAGTAAAAGATTGAGAAATGCAGAAGTTTTAATACCAGCAGGAACAGTGGTGTTAGAGCCATTCAGTGTAATGAGCATCAAAATCATCAATAGCAACAATTATGACAGAAGGGTAAAGAGAAATTGAATTCTCAATTTGATCAGAAGTTACATCTAAAAGAGTGCAGTTTTGAAAAGTAGGAGAGCAATAAAGAACAATGCGAATGGGGTTGAAGTATACCCCCAAGCCAAGCATGAGACTATTGAGTCTTTGCGAATCAATACTAAGATCAGAAAAGGGAACTTAATTAGCCTCACAAAGAGCAAGCAAGTCTGGTGAATTTTGTATGAAGTAAGTTTCAACTGATGGAAGGTTACTTAAAAAACCAAATATATTTGTGAAATTATATTGAAACTGTTAGTTGGTGGGGATGGTTGTCTATTATACAGGTTTGTTTAATACCTTGGATTACTTTGGAAATGATTTAAGTTTGAAGAGAACTCGACTCCAGGCTTTTTTATGAGATTTTGTTGCCTAACAGAAAAGCGTAACACAAGTAAATGTAACTTTGCTTAGTACGCATATTTACATTGTTAAAAGTTAAGTTTTATCAGTTGCGTATTATAAAGTAACGCAAAATCATTTAAAGTCTTTAATTTTATAAAGTATTTATAAAATATCTTTAAATTTAATAATGGTATAAAATATATTATCAATACTTATTTAAACTTATATTTTTTAAATGAGAAAACATCAAATTGTTTATGGGTGAATTTCCTAACGAATATATTTTTTTAACAATTTGCTTTAACAAAATCTTTGCTCTCTAAAAGTAGTTCTTTAAAACATTGATGAGAATATTTTGGAAATGCATTAGAAAAAACATAACATCTCAGGCTTTCACAGGAAGACTTGCAATTTCACGTCTTTATATGACCATGCAAGTTACATTTTGCTATGACGGTTTGACCGCGGCTAATTTAAAAAACAATTTAGACATGCGCTAAATAAAAAATATTCTAAAAAAGTGAAATTAATTACATCAAAACTTCTTATCAAATGTTTTTATATTAGCGAAACGATTTTAAATAAAGTAACAGTTTACTGAAAAAAAGTTTTGTTTTTTAAATATAATTGACAGTTGTATATATTTTTTAAATTTAAAACATATAAATTGTTTAAGTGTTAATTTCTAAAATAAATCTTATTTAAAAATAAAAAATTGTTTTGTTTTTATAAACAATGACATTCTTTGACTACGAAAGTCTCTTTAACGAATTTGAATATAAGAATGATTGAAGTTGATGCATTTAAAAAGATAAACAAAATTTCGTTAAAAAAAAAAGTTTTAGAAAACCGTTACAATTTAATAAGTTTGATCTTAAATGCTTTTATATTATCGAAACGCTTTTAATAAAGTAAAAAAAAAACACTTCTAATTAATTTATAAAAAAAGTATTAATAAAATATTTTTTTATTTTATTTATGGAACTATGTATTTTTTATGAGAAATATTTAACTTTTGAACATATTAAATAAATAAAAAATATATAAAAATGTTGAAACAAAGATTGAAAAGGTTTTTTAATGTGTAAATTAAATAGACTGAGCATTTTATTTTGATAAGTTTTGTTTTAGTTGCGTTATATATATATATATTTATTTTTTTGTGTTTTTGCTTTAACTAATTTTTTTTTTAATTTTCTCTTTCGTTAATATTTATTATTTTTTTAAATTTTTTTTTCAGATAAGTTTAGGTAAGTTTTTGTAGCACGTTTTTAAATTTTAAAAATGTGCCATGGTCAAATCGTTAAAATATTTTTTTTTTACGTGGTCATATAAAGACGTGAAATCACGCATCTTCCTGTGAAAGCCTGCATCTAATCGAATGTAGAGATTAAAATACGCGGTGGTATATAGTTAGAGTTGCTAGTTAGTTACTGAGCTTACATTGCATCAGAGATTCAAGCAGAAGCAAACATACAAAGTAAATTACGGATGAACGAACACCATGCCAGAGGTTCAGACAGAAAACTAACATACATATAGTAACTAATGGGTAAATAAACACCGCGCCAGAGGTTCAAACAGAATACAAACATAGAAATAGAACACTAACATACATATACTTACAGGTGAGTATACATTATGCTAAAGGTTTAGACAGAACACAGTTATAGATATATAGTAAATTACAGGTGAGCTATCAGAGTAACTAAGATTCCTCCCCCATCTATATATAAAGAAAAAAACCTTTCATGTTCGTTGTCTTTCTTTTGTATTGTAAATTGATTGTAATTATTGTATTTCCTGTTATTATATTTGCAATTATTTAAATCTTTAGTAAACAGTATAGCATTAGTTAAACCTGAAAAGGCTAAAATGGTAGAAAATATGATTATTCAAATGGCAAGAACTGGCCAAATTAGTGGAAAGGTTAATTTTTTACTTTTCTGTTTATTTTATTATACAGTTATCAATCAGTAAAAAATATATATTTACAGGAATATTAATACAAAATATAATAAAAATGCAGTATATATTAAAAATATAGTATATAGCAAAAATAGTTTGAAAGTTATATAAGAAGCAACAAGTTGTTTAACAATAGTTAATAAAAAAAAAAAAAAACTAATTTATTTCAAATAATTTAAAATTTTAAATGTTTTTAATATATTCAATGCTTTATCTTCAAATTTTAGTTTAAACTTTACAACAGTTAAACTTGAAAGTTAAACTTTACAACACAAATTGAGTAAACACAAACGTATTTCTTGCACCTTATTTACTTACTCTGGATTGTTAAGAAACCATCCATACAAGAGAGTAAGAACTTTCTTTAAATTTTTGTAGAAATTAAATTCTGCTGCTGAAGATTTTCAAAAAGTCTCTAGAGCTTAAAAATCTGAGATAAGTTTCAAGATTTAGTAAACTAAGAGCTTAGAACCTTTTTACATTGATATGTTGCAATAAAAAAAAGGTGTTTATCCTTAAGAGATTTATTCTTATCAAGGGGATCTCTGCTGAAGGCCTATTCACCTCACAATTGTAACCATTTCATAATGGAGTAAAATGTTTTATAAAAAGTTTGTGTAAAAATTGTATAAATATTGTAGATTCTTGGTCAAAGTTTGGGGAAATATTTTAAATGTCAAGGAATATCATAAGTAAAACATTCAACAACAAATATCAGTTATATCTGCAAAGCTTATTGGAAAAAATATATATGAATTAGATATAATTATACATAGTTTTGAATTTTTTCACTATCTTGTGTTTTATACAATAAACTAAGACATGATTTCTAATTGCTATCAGTTAGTACTTTGACATGCATTGCATCAAAAGTTTGCAAAATTGATGTGCTAGTTTCTTAGAATAGTTTTTAAAAACATTGAAAAAAAACAAAAAGATTGTATAATTATTCTTGATGAAGTATATCTTAGGGGATAGTTAGTATGCAAAACTGCTAAACTAGCATTGGCTACTGTAATCGGATATTATCAATTTTTACACCAAATATCTATTGTTGACATTACAAAAAACATGAATAATACTCATACTAAAATGAGCCCAAAATCTGTTGAAATCAAAAAAATATTTTTTAACCTTCTCCATTAAAAAATCTGTAGTGCAGATACGCGTTATTATCCAATGCTAGTAACAAGGTTTTTCACTATCTGCAAAGAAATGTCAAAAAAATGATGCTTTACCATGGTGGAACATTGTTCAGTAAATCTATAGATGATACATCATTATTGACTAAAACTGTGTTGAAAATTATTATAGTTAGTCTAAAAATCCTAAATTTCTGTATAAGATGATTCCAATTTCAAAATTAAGTTCAAATTTTCGGTTTAAACAAGTAATCTCCAGCATAAAATTTATAAAATCATGGTCTAGTGATGTAAAAATTGTTATCTGTTATGGTGATCGTATAAACGAAGAATTTTTTAAATTATATTATACTAATCCACGATGATCCACTAGTAGCACCTATTTGTAGTCCTGATTGCCGTCTTAATACTCTAATTCAGTTTGGTGATATGGCTTTTGAAATGTATTGTAAAAATGGCAAAAGAGTTATCTAATAATGTTATGTATGTAGAAATTAATATAATGAAAACAATTTGTTCAATCAAACATTACTTTATTATTAAAAGTTTGGTGACTAAGTCTTTAGGTTGTGATGGTCTTAAAATTCCACCAATGCCATTTTTTTTTTGTTCTGTCTTATTCCATTCAATAAAAGATAAAGTTTGTTGTATATTCTTAAGTGACATCTTATTGCTAGTTTCTAAATTTTACTATTTAAAATTAATCAAAAATATTGCAACACACTTGCTTATATATTTTTAAACATTTTTTGTTCACAAATTACACCAAGATTAAATAAAGAACCTGCATTAAAAGTGCTTAAGTTATCATAAATTTATTTAGAAAAGAATAATTTGTATCTGTTGTTGTTAAAATATATGCAAATAATTTCTTTGTTTTTAATTTTTTTTTTTTAAATATAAAATTCTAACTTTTTATTATATTTTAATATAATAGTCATATTTTGATTCCAAAGCATATTTTTATAGCAGAGTTGCTGATAATCTGTAAAAATAATAGGCTCCCAGTCATGGCTCACAGTTGTGTGATGAATAGGCCTTAAGTCTAGATTGCCTTGGTTCTTATGAAAGGTTTTAAAAAAAAACGATTTCAATTAGATATAGAAGCTGAAGAAGAAGGTGAAACCATGAAGTAGAACAAAAGGAAATAAATCTTTAATACCTGCCTAGATCCAGGAGATTATGTACTAGACTTATTTACTCACTTGAATTTTAACTGTTGTGAAGTTACTTCCAAGACCATGATTATTTGTAAATCATATTGAAACACTGAGGTGGTGGTGATGAAAGTTTTTCATGTTTATTATATTTGGTTACTTTAGTCTTGATTTAAGTTATAGAGAACTTGGTGCTATTATAGATGAATAATTGTACTATCATACAAACACAGTTGCATAACACACAAGACAAAAATGAATAAAGTGAATCAAAAAAAGCCAGCATTCATTATCTTTAGCAGAAAACAATGTAACACAAGTTTACATCTACGCCAGCCTAATAGATGAAGATGGTGTGTGAACAGACATTTTAGAAATGTTGAATGTAAAAAAGCATCATTACCACCTATTTTCATTCTCTTTTTTACAAGTATTCAGAATCTTCAAAGAAACTTATTATTTATTGAATCTTACCTTTTTTAAAATTCACCAGACTCATTTGTGGCTCTAGTCCAATGATCTTATTGGCACTTAAGTTCAATAAAAAAAAACTTCAATAAAGCTTAGCATGCTGAACTTGAGCTTTTTTAATATGGTGTATTTATTATTGGCACTTAAGTTCAATAAAGCTTAGCATGCTGAACTTGAGCTTTTTTAATATGGTGTATTTATTATTGGCACTTAAGTTCAATAAAGCTTAGCATGCTGAACTTGAGCTTTTTTAATATGGTGTATTTATTATTGTCATATGATGTAACAATCTTTTTCATTTTTAGTATTTTATGAGTGCCACAATGTTCCTGTCTACTTTTACAGTAATTTAATAAATTCCATTAGTTCAAAAAAGTTAATGATGATAAATATAAAAAGCAAATAAAAGTAACTTTGTGGTCTTTTTAAGAGTGAATTAGTTAAAAAAAAGTCACAGTATATATTTTTATATACTTATAACATGAGTATATTTTGTAAAATTATTTATTTAAAAAACTTAAGTAGTATTAAGCGTTGCTAATCTCACTTTATCTAAATTCATTTAAAGTTGAATTTTTAAAGTTGAATTTTTAAAGTAGCTTCTACTTAATTCTCTTTTTAAAGTTAACAACAAACAATGCAAAGCAACAACTATAGGAAATAATAATATATAATAATAATAGTAAAAATGATAAAACAGGCAACAGTTTTTTATTTTATTTTAACAACGCAATTTAATTTATTTTTGGCGGTGTTTATGTGTTCACGCAGTGTTTACTAGTAGTAAAAAGATTTTGAAAATGGAATTATCATTTACCAATACTAAAAGATGTACTTAAAATCTTTATCTGCTTTATAAAAAACTTTATTGTTCAATAGTAAACAACATTTTGTTTCATAAATTTTATTTTCTAATTTTATATTGTCAAGTTAAAATAAGTTTTTATGTTGTATTAACCTGTGTTGGTATAATCCTTTTGCTTACAAAGCCAGTTTACTGCTGCACAACTACATGTTTGTTTGTTTGTTTTTACTTTATTTTCAGATGAAAAAATTTTTATAAAAGAGGTAGAGATACCAAGGAGGAATATCAGAATGCTTCTATAATGCTCAGGGAACGCATATGAAAAATCATTAATTATTGGGTGGCTTTTTATAATTATATATTTTCTTTGAAATTTTATATATATATTTTTAAGCTAAATGAACAGTCATTGGTAAATATTTTGGAAAGAATTAATCAGCAAATGACGAAGGAGAGCAAAGTGGTGGTATGTCATTTTCATGTGTCTGTCATTTAAGTGTCAAGTAGTGCTATGTCATTTTCATGAGAATATGTCTGTCATGTTTAAATGTGAAAAAATCTATTTATTTATTATTTATATGAAATTATTATGTAACCTCTATGTGTTAGTAGATTTTAACTTTACTTATTATTATTAAAGTTGTCAGTAATATTTTTAAAACAATAAAATGGTATAAATTTTATGTAATATTTAAAATGTTTCTATCTATAAGTGAGTTTGTAATTAAAGTGTCATATTTATTTCACATTTTCATAGTTAATAACTATTTAGTTCATAACTGTATTCTTCTTATTTTTAGATTAATCGTAGAAGATATTCAATCGATTCTGATAACGACTAAGGTTTTTGGGTGTTTGAAATGTTTGATCAATTAAGCTTGTAAACCGCCAGATTTTAGGATTGTTTTAAATACTATTTATCTTTTGAATACTGATATTTTAGAGATTAACCTGAATACAAATCTAGAATAGATTTAGAATAATAATAGATAAAATACCATAGATTCAAGTACTTGGTTAAATTGGAATTGTTGCTGGGACTCTTCGTAAAAATCTTTTCATGTTTACTCATCGTATTTTTTTTTTTTGGTAACCTAACTTTTGCATCTGTTTAAATTAAATAAACTTTTCATTTTTTGTAATTTAAATTTTACTTTAAATGTCAAATGATTAAAAAAATAACAATAATATAGAAAAATTTAACAATATAATGACTAGAATAGGTGAATAAAATAAAAAAAAACTGCTCACAAGCAATTGGTTTAAGTAAAAGTAAAAGTTAAAAAACGAATGCTCATGGCAAAAACAATTGTTCAAATACATGAATAAAGTTTTG